CTGTTGGGAGCCAGGCGGGGCCGCGAGGCAGGGCCTAGTTCCCACGGCCCAGAAGCCACGTGGTGTGGACAGGGGTGTGTGGCTTGGCCCCCCAGGGAGTGGGGCAGGAAGCGCTTCAGGTGGAGCTGCGGTGGCGGGGAGCAGCGTGAGGTCTGACCTTGTGGTGAGCAGAGCTGCACCACCGGGGGCCAGGAAAAGGGGTGGCGGCGGGGGCACAGGTCTGCTGGGGCCAGGGGAGGGCAAAGCTTTTAGGGTTGTACCTTTAGGGGCATTAGGATCTTTGAGCTACGGAAGAACTGGCAAAACAAAATGTGGATTCTTTTCAACAAAAATATACAATCACTGCAAGAAACTTAAAAAAGGAAAATACCTCCCCCCAGCAAAATCTGCCTCTCCACTGTCTGCTGCTTTAGCGGACTGCAGACTCTTCACAGGGTTCAGAGCGAGGCTGTTATAACAGTCACCCGTGTCCCTCTCTAGCTGTGCCTTCTGTCTTTGCTGGGTACAAGCCGAAGTGCCCATCTTGTTCTGCCAGGCCCTAAGCCACCAGGCCCCTTTCTGGCTCTGATTTCCTCTCCTAGCTGCTCCCCACTCCAGCCATGTTGGCCACACCAGCCTTCTCCAGCACACAAGGCTGGCAGCTCCTGCCACAGGACCTTTGCACAAGCTGTTCCCAACCCTAGGATGCTCATCTCCCAGCTCCTTGGGGGGTTTGCTACTTTTAAAATTGCATCTTTTTTTGAAGTGCTGGGGATGGAACCCAGGGCCTCACCATGCTAGGCAAGTGCTCTATCACTGAGCGACCTTCCCAGTCTCATGGCTTGCTTCTCAATTTTGATTCATCTCTGTTCAAAGGCTATCTGTATGTAAAATGACATTCTTTTAAAGAAGTAAAGTAATGTCCCTCTTGTCACTTCCTACTCCCTTTCCCCTTCCTGATTTTTTAACAGGTACTCTTCTCTCCCACATTCTAGAATTTCTTTTTTTATGTCTTATTTGTCCCCCACCTGGGCGTGAGCTCTGGGTGAAGATGGTCTGTACAGTTCTCTACTCTGGCTCCAGGTGCATGGGACACAGTAGTCCTTCAATGAATAGGGCCAGTTGACTAATGAAAGACAGACACAGATGCCACACGGAAAATCAAAAGATGTGGCCCACAGGGGAAATGCCAGACAGAGTCAACGCTCTGACTGCAGGAGAGGCTTGCAGAGGCCGTAAGGAAGGCATAAACAGCCCAGAGAAGTGTAAGCAAAAGAGATAAATAAGTCATTGGCAAAAAGAAGGAACCACTCAGGGCCAATAAACAGGAAAATGTTCTTAGACTCAACTAGGGACCCAGAGGTCTGCAAAGTTGTCTGACGTCACTTTGGGTAGGCTGGCGACACAGACTTGAAAATGTAGATGCTTTTGAGCACACGTTTTTTTTGTTGTTGTTGTTGTTTTTTTCCGGTACCGGGAATCGAACTCACGACCCTGCACTCGCCAGGTAGGCGCTGTGCCGCTGAGCTAAACCCCCAGCCCCTAAAATGCAGATGTTTTGACATCTGGCTTTATGCTGGACAGCAGTCTGCATAGCCGGCCCCATTTTACAAGCTGCAAAAAACGAAGGGCCAGAGAGGGCAGTTGGCTCTGCTACGTCACACAGCAAGAGGGAGCGCTGAAGCAGGGCCCAAGCAAAAGTGTCAGGAAACAGGGACAGGCCGCAGCTGTCCCTCCCCACCCACCGACCACGTGGAATGGAAACTCTGAGGCTGGTTCCTCTGCCCCACAGCTGCGCTCCAAAGTGCTGGACGCTGACCTCTCGGGAGACAGGCGGGTCCTCCCCACCCCTGCTCGGCCCCCAGGTCCGGGCTGCCAGCTGGCTGCACGCCCCAGCAGCGGCGAGTGGAAAAAACCCTGGCCAGGTGGACACGCTACCCTGCCCGGCTGTGTGGCTTGGGGCAGGTTCACCCCCCTCTCTGGGCCTCCCTGCTGTTCCCTCCCAGGGCTTGCTGATTTTAACACACGGGCACGTCTGCCAGCCCCCGTGGAGCCCGCACCTGCGAGAGAGGCGGTTACAGCTGTTTGTCAGAGGGGGAAACTGAGGCTTGATGTCATTTGCTCAAAGTCACCCACCCAGAGGGCCCAAGAGGAGAGAGAGGAGCTTCAGGAAGACAGGAGGGATGGAGCAAGGGAGGGACACGGAGCCCAGCGAGGCGGGGGTGAGAGAGACCGCGACACCCGGCTGGGGGAGGCGCAGAGACGCGCTTCCCGGCCCGAGGTCCTGACCCGGGACCGGGAACGGCGCTGCACTTGGAGACCGGCTCTTTCACTAGGCGCTTGAGAGAAAATGAGGTCATTAGGGTGGCCTCGATCCAACAGGACGGGCGTCCTCCCAGGAGGAGGAGATCGACACACAGGCGCTCTGCAGAGAGAGGGCGACGCGAGGACAGGCAGGCAACAGGCCACCTCAGAGCCCAGCGGAGGCCACACCTTGACGTGGGAATTCTAGCCTCCAGCACTGGGACGGATCCCCTGCTGCCGTCCCAGCCATTCAGCCCTAGCAAATGACAGAGACACAAGAACATGGGGCAGAGAGGGGGTGTGGGGACAGGAGGGGCTCAGGGACCAGAGGGGCTTGGGAGGCCTGGCCACTGGCTCCTGAGGGATCCTCCCCGCAGCCCTTTCCCATCAGAGGCTGTGCCTGGCCTCGGTTGCCTTGGCAACAGGAAGCTTCAGCCTTGAGGAAGAGGGGTCTTCCTGGCCCCCGTCCAGCCACAGCTCAGGCCTGCACTCTCCTGCCCAGCTAAGCCAGAGGTATACTTAGTGGGGTCCCCTCCTTGGAGGGGGAGGGCTGGGGTGACACTGGGCGAGTCTGTGTGGCTGGGGAGGCCACAGAGGCCCCTGTCTGTCCTTCTCCTCATTTCCTGACCTCCAGCCAAATAAATGGTTGTGCTCAGGGAGGATCAGATATGCTCCCAGGGGAAGGGGAGGAAAAATAATGTGGACTGAGGGGACCCACAGGCTGGGGAGACGGTCTCTGCAGGTCCAAGAGGATGTGATAATGCTTAGCTCCCCCAAGGAGAAATCTGTCTTCTGTACAGCCCTCTAGAGCTCAAGCACACTCTATATCTCCCCAGGGCTGGCAGCACCAACCCTAGGCTCCCTCAAGACCCCACAGTCTGGCCCTGTACCTCATTTGGGAAAAACCTCAGCCCCCACTATTCCACAGGGGTGCCTCTATCCCCACGTGGTCTCTAGCACCTTCAGGATTCCTGCCTACTTCTGTCCTTCTGTGCTGGCATGTGCCCCTCTGGCTGGCACCTCACACACTGGCCCTGCCCTGAACAGCCCACGCTCTCTGAGCCCCCTTGAAGATACTCATGCTGTTCCCCCTGCCTGGAACAGCATTTCTCCACATCCAGTGCTCTCTCCAAGGGATCTTCTCTGAGCAGCCTCTCTCTCTCCCTGTCTCTGTCTCTGTCTCCATCTCCCTTCCTCCCTTCCTCCCTTCCTCCCTCCCTCCCATTCCCCCCTCTCTCTCTCCCCGTGCTCACCAACGCAGATCTCACTGTCTGTCTCACGGTCTGCCTGTGCATTTCCTGAGCATGTAGACCTCGCCTGTCTCTCTCTGCTCGGTGAACCCACACCCCTAGTCCATATTTGGAGAACTGACACCGAGTGAGGAAAGCTAAATAATTCCCGAGCGGCCCTGGAACAGTGGCTTTCATGAATTTCATCAATGACTAAGAAATTCATTTCATCTGGCAACCTACTAGGCATGTGCAGAAATCACGTAAAAGTCCATGGAGTTATTTTAACTGCTACTTCAGTACAGGCCAAGGTCCCTGCCCCACCCTGCCCTGCCCTGCCCCATCCTGTCCTTTCTATTCTGCTTTGGGCCACCCCAGAGGTCACAGCCATTCCTGCTTTGCAGGTCTCAGATCATCGTCACTGCCACGGTGATTCACACAAGCATGGCAGGCTTCGGTGCTGCCACCCCTCCCCCACCCGGCACCCCCCCACACACACACCAGGTCCTTGCAGCTCCGTCCCAGGCCGGAGGCCCTATCTTCCAGCTCACTGCACTTTCCTTCCGGCCTGGTCCTCTGCTCAGGTTGCCCAAGTCGGGGCTCCAGGACGGGCAGCCGGCAGTGGCTCCCTGAGTTCCTATCCTGGGGCCTGAGACACCATGACCTAGGTGTCCCCAAACCTGGTAGGACGTGGGTTCCCTCTCTCAATGACATCCTGCTGGCCAAGTCAAGTGGTAAAGCGGATCCCCTCGGGGTTCCAGCAGGCACAGAGACACTTCGGTCACTCTTCCAAGTCATGCTCGGAGTCTGCAGCCCGGTTTGAAAGCCAGCGAATCAATCCAAAGTGATGTCCCTACTACCCGTGCAGCCAAAAGCGAAATTCGGTACACAGGCCCCTAATGCCCACTGCTGGTGCCACACGGCGAGCTGCGCGTGGACGGCAGCGGGTGCAGCTGGACCCTGAAGTCCTCCAAAAATCTCAGGCCAGCACAGCCCAGTCTCCAGAAGCCTACAGGTCCGGGTGCCAGTCCCCGCTCTGCCCTGGGTGCCCTCAGACAGACCGTCCCTGCCCCCGCCTCAGCCTCCCAACCTGCACCATGTGGAATTGCTGGGGTCTGAGTGAGAAGGTGCAGGGAAGGAGTCTAGCAAACAATAAGCGGAACCGCACCAGGGCTGGTGCTGCTGGCCCGGCCTCACTGAATTTTGAGATCCTGGGCAAATTTTCAGCTCCGGGGTTCAGCTTTCGGTCTGCCGACTTGGGTGCGGATGGTACCCACTTCAGAGGATCCCCGTGCCAGCGGCCGGGGGAATGAAGGGTTGGGTGCTCAGCTGATGCTGGGCACAAAGCGAGTACCTCAGGGTGCTGGGCCTTGGTCGTGTTCACGCTTGTTGCAGTTCTTTGCCCCTGGCCCGAGTGCACAGCCACCCGGACCCCGCTCGGCCTTTGCCGCGGGTGACCCCAGGCCCCCTCCCCTGGCCCCATCTTACCCGGGTGGGATGGAGGCGCGCGCGCCCACGCTGGCGGCTGTGCGCTGGGGCCCCGGCCGGTTGAGGTTGTTCTGCCCCGGGGTGGGTGC